GCATGGACCAAGTACAGGATATTATTACTGTGTTATCATGTACACACTGAACTAGTCGCATGGACCAAGTACAGGATATTATTACTGTGTTATCATGTACACACTGAACTAGTCACATGGACCAAGTACAGGATATTACTACTGTGTTATCATGTACGCACTGCACTAGTCACATGATTGTGTTTGTGACTGCTAGTACTATATGATTGTGACTATTAATGTTAATACTAAAGGTGGAAGGATACAATAACTATATGTAATACAAAAGGTGGAAGGATACAACAACTATATGTAATATTAAAGGTGGAAGGATACAATAACTATATGTAATATTAAAGGTGGAAGGATACAACAGCTATATGTAATACCTCTCACTCTTATAGCAGACCTTGCTTTCCTCTCTCCAGCTCGACTCGTTGCTACACATGTGTAATTTCCTTCGTTCTCTTTCCCTGCATTATGTATGGTGAGAACGCTTCGGCCATCCCTGGACACAGGTTGATCTACAGAAGGCCAGACAAATGTCTCTAATAATGATATTTTGAGAGCCTAAAGTAATTTTTGATAAAAAGCAGTTATTCTTCCAGTGTGTTCCACATGATTTATTACATTTAGCAATTAACTCTGGAAAATACTGGTTTTAAACATTTGTAATGATCTGCAGTAGTAGGCCTAACAAAGTATAAATACACAGGAAGAAATCATTGATATAATACAGTTTACAACAATTCAGATACATGCTACACTTTAGCTGATTCTTAATATACCAAGGTTGTAGAGAAGAGGTAATAAATATTCTTGTTTTGGATCCCTACTTTACTTCTCCAAAGTCAAAAATGTGTCTGTGGTCCAAAATAATGAAATTATCTAACACAGTTAAACAAAGATTAAAGCTAGAATAATGTTAATACTAACTTGATAACTTAGTATTGTTAAGAAGCCAAAACACTGAAGGGGTTGGAACACCAACAGCCTCACACTCCAAAACAAATTTTTCTCCCAGGGTAACATCCTTGTCTTGAGGATGAGTGACGATTGTGGGTGGAACCATAACTTCCAGGTCAAAATCCTTGTGCTCCCGACCAGCACTGTTTTTTGCTACACATACGTAATGACCACTGTCTTCTGACTGAAAATATGTATGAAAAAGTCCTCCAAACTAGGCCATTACAATTAATGTAGCATCAATTAATAATGATCAAATAATAATGTAACAGTAGTCACAAAAACTCACCGTAGCATTAGGAGTTATGAAGACTCAATAATGTAGCATTAGGAGTTATATATAAAACCTCAATAATGTAGCATTAGTAGTTACAAAAACCCAATAATGTTTACTAAAGGTGGAAGGATACAACAACTATATGTAATACTAAAGGTGGAAGGATACAACAACAATATGTATTACTAAAGGTGGAAGGATACAACAACTATATGTAATATTAAAGGTGGAAGGATACAACAACTATATGTAATACTAAAGGTGGAAGGATACAACAACTATATGTAATACTAAAGGTGGAAGGATACAACAACTATATGTTACATATAGATGTTGTATCCTTCCACCTTTAGTAATACATATAGTTGTTGTATCTTTCCACCTTTAGTAATACATATAGTTGTTGTACCCTTCCACCTTTAGTAATACATATAGTTGTTGTGTCCTTCCACCTTTAGTAATACATATAGTTGTTGTATCCTTCCGCCTTTAGTAATACATATAGTTGTTGTATCCTTCCTTACCATTTTAGAATAATTGTATATTTACATACATTCCCTCTTGCTTAACTATTTGTTAAAGTTATATATGTTCTAATGTTTTGATTCCTGTGAATTTCATTCATTCACATGCTAAATGAAATAATTGCAGAAGGATGTCACAGAACAGTTTAGTAGATACTGTAGACTGGTCAATACCAAATATACATGTTAGAAGAACTATAAATTGATCGTAACTGTGGTTAATTCCTTCAACAACCAAAACAGTTTGGGTAGTTTTATTTAATATAACTTTGGTACCAAAATAACTTTTTCGTAAAAGATGAATGTA